TAGCCATAAACAGCTAAAGACACGCGACTGCGGTGTTCGTTGACTCCGTCAGGGCTCTCCTTTCCCTTTGCATCTCCTGCCCCCAGATGAGGTTAGGTAGATTTAAATTTTAATCAGTTAGATCTGTTGTTTTTAATGGGAATTTAAATTGAACCAGGGACTGAAAACATTAGGGGGCTGCAAGTCGCTCAGCTGGGACCTGGTAGCAGCATTTCCCCTGGCTCCAAGATGGGTGGTGGCTTGCTGTGGTGTGATCCCCAGTGCAACCCCTTTCTGACTAGATCTCAGAAATTAGTAGGTGGCAGAGCATTGGGACTAAGTTGTTTTTTTTTTTTTAACTTTGGCCCCTTAAGTCAGAGAAGGAAAGCTTCCTAGAGTGATTTCAACCCACTTCTTTGATCAATGGGACTTGGGTCTTCCGTCTAAGCCTGGATGACCAAAACAAGGGAAAGGAAGGGGGTATATGCTAGAAGATGCCCCCATCCCTGTACACCACCCCCCTCTTTGGGCCTTCCCATGAGTTGAGGAAAGGCAAGCAGGGACACGCTTAATTTAAGAAACCTCAGCCCTTAAACACAAAGGGTAGAGTACACATCACACACTGAAGATAGAAGGGGATCCCTTGAACCCCTTGATGCCAGGAACTAAGCCTTACAGTGCGGTGACAGTGGTGAGGCCTTAGAGTCTTAGACATACTGAGTTTTGTTTATTCATGAACACATCTGTTTTAAAATTTTTACATTTTACATGTGAAATATATCAAATATACAGATGTCTTTTCCACATTTTTTACTGGTGTACTGTAATTGTACATATTGATGGGATTTGTTGTTGTGTATTTGTACATGCACACAAGGTAACAATATAATTTGGCCAGTATCACGCCCCAGCACTTCCCCCCTCCCCCTCCCTCCCTCCCTCTCTCCCTTCCACTCCCTGGTTCCTTTCCTTTACTGATCTCCCTTTGATTTTCATTCCCATGAGATCCACCCCCACCTTTCTTTTCCTTTTCCTGTCAAGCTTCCACATATGACCCTTGACCTTTTGAGTTTGACTTATTTTACTTAACATGATGGCCACTTGTTCCATCCATTTTTCCTGCAAATGCCATAATTTCATTTTTCTTTATGGCTGAATAAAATTCCATTGTGAAATATACAGAAGTCTTTAAAAACCAAGGCATTGTCTTAGTCCATTTTCTGTTACCATAACAAAACATTTTAGTTTGGGTAGTTTATAAAGAACAGACATTTTTTTGGCTCATGATTCTGGAGGCTGAGAAGCCCAAGAGCACGATGCTGGCATCTGCTGGGGGCTTGATGAGGGCTTCATGCTTCATCATAATATAGAGGAGGACATCCCCTGGGGAGACAGAGCAAGTGTGCCAGCTCAGGCCTCGCTTCTTCTCATAAGACCACTAATGCCATCTGGGGGCTTCACCCTCATGACCTCATCTAATCCTAATTACCTCCCAAAGGCCCACCTCCAAATACCATTAATATATGAATTTCTAACACATCACCTTGGGAAACACATCTGAATCATAGCAGACATCCAAGTACCACCCAGATTTGTTGATGTTAGTATCTTACAGTATTTTTAAACATGGAAATGATATATTACAAATATCACTGAAGCTCCATCTACTTCTGTAGATCATCTCTCCTCTGTAATCAGTATCTGGAATTTAGTTCAAATCATCCTCCTACATGTTTTTGTACTTCAGCTACAAATGTCCATATGTGTGAACATTACCCACATGCATAATATTGCTTTGTATGGTTAAGAAATATACAAAAGTTGCATCCAGCCATATAGATTGTTTCACAATGGGTCCCTATACTGTTGCTCTCTTGCAGAAACCACAGACAAGTTGCATCCCCTTTTGAGCTACAGGGAAGTATGTGGTAAGGTGCTGCTTATATTAATTGTGGCACAATCCAGATGAACAATCAGGGCCTGGAAAGAGACCAACTTGACATTCTACAGGCAGCATCAGCAGGACTTTGTGATTGATTTGATGCACATATTGGCAGGAATTGGAGTGAGGAATAATGATTATGGTCCAGGTATTGGTAGGGAGATTAATGCTGGTCACTGAGCTCAGGGGCAGATACAAAGATACTGTTCAGATTAGGTGATGGGTCCTCTTTTAGACCTGTTGAGTTGGAAGCAACTACAGCACAACAGATGGAAAATTTCAGAATGCCATGAAATATTTGGACTTGAAATTCAGGAAAGAGACCTGAGCTGGAAATGCCTTGTTGGGTTCCTTGAGCATCTCATGAGCATTCACTTCAGGCATTATAATAGTTTGTTTTAAGAAACTTCAGTGGCACCTTTACCTGGAATAAATAGTGTGGGTCAGACTCGCCAGATTTCTACCGAACTCTGACAAGTGTCAGCAAGAGAACCAAGGCTGAGTTAACGAATTACCATGTCAGCTTCAAAGGTTAGAGTTATGCTTGAGACATTTTTTCCCTCCAATCATCCATGGGGATTTTCTCATTTGTGAGATTCTATAAATCCTCTCTGAAGATAATTCCTGCTTTCTGACTGTACCATGCCTTAGTGTTAAAGAGTTCATAGACTTTATTAGCCTTTATGTAGACTTCTTTCTGTTTGCCCAAACTTGCCACCTTGTTACGCTTCAAAGTGCCCCGACCTTTCCTGGGATTTGCTGACAGTACATATGTAACCTAGTGTATCATTTCTTTCACAGACATTTACTCTGGGAACTCTACTCTTAAGTCTGCTGTGAATGGTTTTCTGCAGGGCGGGAAGCAGATGGACCATTCCCTATTCTGCCTGTAGCTTGCTGCAGATCTTACCTGGGGCCTGTGGTCCACCCTCACTATTTAGCAGCTGACTTTTCATGGGGCGGTGTCTCCTTTTTATAAGGGACAGATGCCTATCCCCACCCCCAATCTCTTCCTCAAGGCCAGCAGGATGTCCTGAGAGGCCTCCTTGTGTGATTGGAATCAGCCCTCAGTAGCTAAAAAATGTAGGGTGGGGTCCAGGAAGAGTTTGGGTAGCTGCTGCTGTTGAAAGGGTCCAGAAAGACCTGGCACATTTAGAATAAGGAATGGCTGCGCATGGGTGGGCCCTAGTTTTCTCTCCATCTCTTGCTTTTATCTTCTCCTCCTCCTCCTCCTCCTCCTCCATCTCCCCCTTCCCCTTTGCCCCTTCTTCCTCTCTATTCCCCTCTCTTCCTCCTTTTCCTCCTTTCTCTCACTGGGATGTCTCAGTGCAGGCCCTCTCATTACCACCTGCCCGTGCCTACCCCCTCCTTCCCTTTAGTACTTACTTGATTCTTTTCCCACCTCACAACTGGCCTCTGGCTTCCTCGGGGCCTGTTCCCTGGTCTATGACCTCACACATTCCAACACTGAATGACCTTTTTGCTATAATGTCTATCACCATCTGGCAGGAATCCCTCTGAGTCAGGATTCTGACTTCCTTCATCTGCTTCAGCCTACCACACCATCCCTGGGCCCCCCACTTCCATTAGCAGGGGAGGAGGCAGGGTCACAGAAGCCAGGACGGGCTGTGATGGAGGCAGAGTCCCTGAGAAGAGGCTGTGTGAGGCAAGAGTTACCAAACATGTCATCCCAGAACCCCTCCAATCAACCTTTCCCAGGTAGATGGCCCTAAGCATGGCTCAAACTCCCAAGTGGGAAGCTGTGATTTATAAATGGTTCCTCATCGCTATGCCCAGCAGCCTCACCAAACATCACCTGGAATCAGACTTGCAGCTCTCAAGCGTTCATGTTATTTATATGTTAGTCTGCAGGGAGTGCCTTGCTTGATGCCACAGTCATCCTGATCTGTAAAATAGAGAATGTGGACTTGCTGTTGTATCCTTCATGAACACTTCTGATATATGATTTGAAAGTTTTCCCCTAGATTGAGAGTCCTGTGTTATAGTCACCAGGGCAGTGAGTAGCAGAGGGCAGATTGTGACTGGCTGCATTCAGAGCTTGCCTCCTCTTCCTTGTGCTCCATGGCTACTGTTGTCACACCCTGTGTGTCCCTTATGGGTTTGAGTCACAGAACTTTCTATTAATAGATGCCTCAAGTGTCTGAAACAGGCTTAGAATGGGAAAGCCTTGTCCCACCTTCATACAACTGGAAAACATTACAGAACTTGAATTTTTCAGCTTTCAAATAAATAAATAAAACACCAAACAACCAAGCTGTACAAAATGCAGCTTGCACAACTTAGTCACACGGAAACACGAAGAGGAAGAAAAAGTGATCTGGTTTCCACTTTATAGGTGGTTTTGATTCAGAAAATATGCCTCAAATCCAGTTCCTACAAATACAAAAAAAAGGGGCTTGGTTTTGCTTCTAGAATAAAAAGTAAAACTACTCTTGAATGTTTCAGGTCTCACCAGAGTTTCCATTTATCCCTTTTTTTTACTTTTGCCTACCTGGATATTCTTGTCTCTCCAGCTACTGAGTCAATCGATACATATTGTGGGAAACTCTTCTCTCCCCATGACGAGAGTTAAGTGGGATCCATTTCCGACAACATGAGTTAATCATCACTAGAAATATTGGCAAGAGCTGGGGATGTTTGTATTCCTTGGGGACAGCTTAGCATCTCCGGATAAACATTCCAGTCCAATCTTCTGCCTTCTCTGGGTCTTCCATCTCCAAATTCTCTCCCTGATAAAGAGGATGAGCCAAAAGCAACTTGAGGATCCCTGGTAATTTACAAAGTGAGGACGATACTTCAAAAAAGTTGGCAATGAGTTGTCATTGGTACTCAGTAATGTGTTGTAATATAGTGTATTTCTTGCACAGTTATACAGTAGCAATATGACTGTTTTTAACCTCAAAAAAGAAAGTCCAGTATTTGGATTGCCAAACTACTGCCATCTCCACAATAAGAATGCCCACCCCTGAGGCCTCTAGCTCTTAGAAGCTCAGTCCTTCCAGACAGGTTGTTAAGCAAATAAAACAAAAAATGCTTTCTGCTTGTGCCCTCGTTTTAGAATAGAAAGATCTACTTGGACATCATCCACACGTATATGGAAGTGCATGCAACAGTTTATGGCTCCAGCACAAAGAATATTCCCAGTTACGTGAAAAACCACGGCATACTCAGTGGACGGGACCTGCAATTTCTTCTCCGAGAAACCAAGGTGAGTTTTCAGTAGATTTGTAAACATTGACCAGGGTTGCTCTTTACAGGTTTGTTTCCCTTGGCATTAAAAATGGGATCATAATCTTTCTTGTTTTCTTTCTAACAATGCAATAGCTCTTTAGGCCTTGATTGGGCAGTAGTTTCCTAGCAGCTGTCACTAAAAAAAAATTAGTGAATAGGGAAAGGGGGTTGCTACTGTTTGTTAATTGATTTTGGCAAAAAAAAAAAAATGTGCAATTAAAATTTTTTTTCAAAAATTGTATTTGCACAATTCCTGAATTAACTAAAAATAAGTGGGGGAGGTCAGGAAACTTTATAATAAAAAAAAAAAATTTACAGAGCATCTTCTCTGTGCTAGGCAACAAGCCAGGGGCTGGGAGTAGGGCCAGACATGGGAAAGGTAAGGCTCTATCTTGAAGGATAGACCTTCTGCTAGAATAGGAGCCTCTTCACAGTAAGCCAGGGTTAATGAACTCTCCACTCTGTTACCTCTGTTCAAGGAATCAAATTGGGTCCCTAACCAGCTTTTCCTCATACCTCCTCATTTAGCAAGTATGTCCTGGACACCAGGAAAAAAAAAAAAAAAAAAAAAAAGAGGTTCATATGGGAGAAAAATCCCTGCTGGCTCAGGGAGCGGAGAAATCATTATGACAGATATAAGAGATTGCTGGGGTATGGATACACCTACTATTGAACCATATAAAGAGTCAGCATCAGGTAGCCAAGGTGCCAATGGCATATTCAGGAGAGAACTAGAAAGCAACCTATCTAGATTAAGTATTGGAAAATAGTGGAAGGTTAAATACAACAGGAAATAAGGGCCAATGGTCACAGAAAGAGGCACAGTGCAGACACTGCACATAGATAGTTGGGGAGCCACTGAGTGTTATTGTACTACACTAGAGCATAATGGCCTGGGGCTTTGTGGGCTATGTCCTTTCTATATTCCTGCATTAAAGTAACACATGAAGTTAGGTGACTTATGAATAACAGAGTTGGCCTTGAAAGCCCTTTAATGTATTTGATATGCTTTCTTGTATTTACTAATAAGTTTTTTTTTATGAATTTTGTATATACTTATTGAACAACTACTATATACCAGGCATTGTGCAAGGAATGCAGCAGTGAACAAAACCAGCAGATCCCTCCACTAGTGTTTTCTAAAGCATAGAGTTTATTATCACGGGTGGATTTCTTAACTCTGGTCCTTGGCTCACTTTGTTTTTAATTCAAGATAGGGCAGAGAGGTTGAACAAATGAACTTTTGTAGCATGTTAGCCATCGCTGATCTTATTTAGAAGGTACATTCATATGTGCTATCCTCTTGGAATCTCACAACAGCCTTAAGAGGTAGACAGTGCTAGTAGGGTTGTTAACTCTGGTGAGCTGGACATGCCTATGGTAAATTGAGGTCAAGTTGTGGAGTTCACTCTAATTCGTGATTGTTTTAATTGCAAATTAAATCTCTGCTAGGCTGTTGATGAACCAGCCTCATAAACACCCAAACTCAATGGAAACCGACCTATCAAAGAGTATCTATCTCCTCTGCTTCGGTTTCTCCATCTGCAAATATATTTGATCCTTTCAACCTTCAAGTTATTTGTGCAATAGCATGAACAAAATATTCTGTCAGTTCTTTAACTCCTTGGCCAAAGATCTGTTTTGTTTTAATGAAGATTTTATTTCCTTGTAAGGTCACCTGTAATCAGATGATTATTTGAAGCCCTCCAGGAATGACGTGTGTCCCCAGTTTTACCATTTGCTTCCCGTCACCGCCTGTCTTAGGTTGATATTTTAGAATCATCAGGATGTCCGGGCCCTTTAACAGCAATGCTATTTTTTGCTATTTGCCTCATTTTACTTTTCTCCACATCAGGTTGTGGAAAAAGTTCAATCTCCTTTAAAATAACATTTGGCAGAGCTGGTTTTCAGCAGCATGTCATTACTGTCTCGCACACTTCTATTAACCCAGGCTCGTGAATGTCTTGCTCAGCCTTGCAAATTTTAAAAGAACCCTTACTTACTTACCATCCACTTACCCTGTCATAGAATAGGAAATAGGCCAAAACTGAGGTCCCTAATGTCCAGGAGAGAACAAGAAGAGGCCCATAAAACCCAGCCACGATGTCAGAGTGGCCTACAGCCAAGGAGGGCAGCTTGAATTTTAGCATGAGGGACATGTATTCATCCTTGGAAAAAAGGGTACCTTCTGAGCATGTCCCTGAGCCCATTACACAGTGCCTGCTTATCTGGCAAGAATATATTAAAATACTCCAAGTGGAACTATGGCTCAAACAGTTAGCAAATAGGATGAGGCTAAGGCAGTGTATCACTGAGATTCTCCTCACACCCAGGACACACCCTCACGCACTAAAATGAATGGATCTTGGCCTTTGCAGTAGTGACACGGAAGGCTGGTCAGCCTTTGCATTTATAACCCTTTCTGCTTCCAACTCCTTCCTCTGTGTCTCTGAGCAATTTAAAAGTGATTTATTCCAATCCACATTGGAAGTGGAGACCTGGAGCTGCTGAGGACTGCGGAATAAAGAAGATTCACAAGCTCTTCAGCCTCATTACTGGAGAGGGAACAAGCCTCAGCTCCTCGAGAGGTCTGAAGGAATGATTGATGTTTAATCAGCTCCAGACTCATTATTTTTTCTTTATGAGCCCTCTTTGAATCTCTGCACCAAGCCCAGGAAACCCTCTGCTCAGCAGAATTTGTCCTGGCATGCCATTAGGGGCCCAGGCATCTCCAGCAGACTCTTGCTTCAGGGAATCTGGAAAGACAGGAGGAATTAATGAAACACTGAAAGAGCTGAAAATCTAGAGAAAATGATAAAAATTTGGATGAATGAATTATCTATCAAAGGACCACAGAGAAGTCATTCTGTCCAGCAAACTCCAAGAGATCAGTTGAGGTCAGCAAATCAGGATTCGCTAGAGTGGCATGTTTTTAATTTTGACTTAAATCTCCATCTCTTGTAATATATTTTCTTTCTTCACCTTCCTGATGGTAACCTCTTCATGTCCACCTTCCTCTTCTTGCTTTGGGAAGCTTCCTATTACATTTGTGATATCAAATAGGGCATTCACATTCAACACTGGGATGCAAGGATGTCTGCAGTTCTGACGTAGGAGCCAGACAAGGTACCTTCCTTTCTGCAGTCAGAACAACTCTGACTGTGGCCTGCCAGGCGAAGCTGCTACTAGTGCTCATGCTAGAGCTGTACCCTTCTCTACCCAGACTTTATTCCTTTCCCCCTCCAAGCCTTGGGTAGACCATGGTGATCCTGGTTCCCCACACCATGCCAGCTCACATAGAGGCCTGGACAGATTTGGCAAACGGGCTGCCACATCCTATCCTGTCTTCATGCCTGACTCCCCACCCTCTGCCAAACAGACATTCATTCAGCTATGGCTTTTCTTACACAGCTTGGATGGGTTTTGAAACCTCTCTCAGAATCAGGACTTGAGGTTCCACTACCACTGGAACCAGGCCATCATGCAGCACCATGAACTTTGCACCAGAGGTTTTGCTTGTTCTCTTTGTGGGTATATTCCCAGTGCCTACAAGAACACCTGGCTTATAGAAGGTACTGGATACAGGCTAAATATCCCTCATCCAAAATGTTGCAATCCAAAACTTTTTGGGTGCCGACATGATGCCAGAAGCAAAACTCCCACACAACTAAACCCCAACTACTGATGCTAGCCCATGATGTGCAGTTGTGTGACACTGTAGCGGGATATGAACTTGGGCCACTACTTAGTAAATGTTTATAGAGTGCCAAGTTTTGGAATATTGAATATTTCTATGAAATATCTCACATAATCCTCACAGCAACCCCATGAGATAAAACAATGTTGCTATTCCCATTTTGCACTTGAGAAGGTCCCAACCCTGGAGAAAATAGATTATACATGAGCCTCAGAGAATCCACAGACAGGCAACTTGTCACAGTTATGGAAGTAGGAAATGACGGTGTCAGGACTTGAACCCTGGTCTCCTTGACTCCCAAGCTTGTACTGTTAATTGCTACTTTGTGTCATGATCAATTTATTGGGTAAACCAAGGTTACTTCATTGCTCAACTCCCTCCTGAGCCACCTCAGCGCGGCTAATTAATGATCATCAGAAAAGCGTATGTTGAGTATACCTGATTTTGGATTATTCTTGATGTTCCCCATCAAAAGTGACTAGAACTGGGCTGGGAGTATAGCACAGTGGTAGAGCCCTTGCCTAGGAGGCTGACACTCTGACTTCCATCCTCAGCACCACCACCCAAAAAAAGAAAGTGACTAAAACTGACCAAAACCATGCAGTTATCATAAGAACTGCCTTTGTCCGTGTTTGAAGGAATCTTTGTTAAGTGCCCCCACTTACGGGTTTGAAATAATTCCATTCCTCCTTTCACACAGAGGAAAATTCTGAGAGGAATAATTTTGCTGGTCTCTGTGTTGGAATGTTTCAACCCTATGCTGTGAAGAAAGCGTATGGTGCTTCATCTGCCCTCTTTCTCTTAGCATTAGTTCACAATTTAATTTTAGAGCATGTCATCCCTCTGTTTAGGAACACTCACTGAGGGGGTTGGAGTTGCAGCCATGGAGATGTTCTGTCACCTGAAATATCCTTGTTAGATTCTGGGCTTCTGAGGGCCAGATGCAGTTTAAATAAAATATGGACAGTTTTCTCCTGAGAAGGTTATCCCCAGTGCTTGAATGCTATCCTACTTCTGTCTCTTTCATCCATGCTAAGGAAGTCTGCAAGTAGGTGCAAGGACCGGGGAGTGGAGATTAGGGCCAAAACAATTTGTTACAGTTAAGGTACTGGTTTGTGGCAAGGGCCATAAGCATGCAGAAGTTTCCAGCTAGAAGTGGTGAATTTTCTGTGCCTATCCTGTTGTCATTCAACTCTCAGATGTGCTGTTTGACCTTAATATATCTGCTCCATCATAATGTCACAAGTAATGAGTAGACAGGAAGCAAGGAAATACTTGCTTATTGACAGAAGTGACAGAAAACTATTATTTGGTGTTTCCAAATCATGCATTTTCTTCAGTCTTAATTAGTGTGACAGGAAAACCCATTGCCAAGAAATTATGTGGTATTTGCTCAAGCTTCCTTCTAAATAGGCTTGGGAGAGGTAGCCCAAAGTGTTTATTTTCTTCGTACTGAGATATTCTGGTGCCAGCAGGGCAGAAGAGTTGGTGCAAATTGTTATTCAGATATAATTAAACCTAGGTCATATTCAAGTCCATTAAGCAACAGCCTCAAATCCTTTTAATTAATAGGTTCAGATTGGTTGATCTGAAGGAGCTAATTAAATTTTTCTCCAAGATTTTCCATTGAAATAGACAAGCATTGTGCTTCTTCCATTTCCTCCAAAGTTGTTATTGACAGTTTAGAGTTGATAAGGGTATTGGCACTTCATGGCAGGCCCCAGTTTCCAAAGGTCAGTAACTACTGTGGGTGCTGGGTCTCTGACTAAACCCATGAAAACCTAGTCTGCATCTTTTAGTACCTCTTTTAATCAAAAAGGCCCAGATGTTCTGTGCTGTGCTCTGCCCAATCATGGCCTGATGGAGGTCATCTGTTTTTTCCTGGAGAGTTTTGGCACATCCTTCCTAAAGTGTGATAGGAAGAGGGGATCACAGAAGTCAAAAGCCTTAAGGATGGAAACCCTGGATTCTTCATGCTCAATAAGGCCTCTTTCCAGCAGAAACGTCTCAATGATTGCTCATTTAAAACAGCTGCATGGGGTTGGGGAGCTGAGGAGAGAGCCTGGGGAATGTCCTGGAGCACTAGTACATCCCAATATTTATTTGCATTTCTTCTGCTGTGAGGCCTCTTCCACCTCTGGGCCACAGTGCCGGGCCACACTCTGTATTCAACAGTTCTCTCTGAGAATCTGACTTTTGTTCACCAAGAATGAGATCCAGAGCAGGAGAGTGGAATAGAGATTTCCCTCTATTCTGCAGCTTCCAGGCCCTCACCCTCACCCCATGACCTCCAGAGACTCTTCCTTCCAAGGGGAAATGACACAGCCAGTGGTAGGAGTTCTGCAGGCCTCCTGAACCTTCTGTTCACCCCACCTCCCTCCCTCCCTTGTGGATGTCCCTGGATGTGTGGTCTCAAGGTTTACAGAAAATGAAAGGTTATTTCTTCATCAAAAAACAGAAAGGTTAAGTGCCCTGTCTATACGAAAGTTAATAGGATAGGGAGTTTCTTCAGAAAACCTGAAACTTTAGGTGTTTTGCTCCAAAAGTCCTTAGGGAGCTGCATGATTCTCCAATGTCACATGTGGACTGCGCTCTGTGCAGCCCTTGTGTTGAGGGCCAGACATATGCATCCTTTGTCTTCCAGGAATGCACAGGGAATCCAGCAGCTTGGACCCGGTGCTTTCCAGCAGAAACATCTCAATGATTGCTCATTTAAAACAGCTGCATGGGGTTGGGGAGCTGAGGAGAGAGCCTGGGGACAGGAGAACCACACATACAGATAAATCCAGTTCAGCAGACTCCTCCACTCTGAGGACCTTCTGTGGGTGTTTCTCACCATGAAGATGAAAGGAAGCACTGCCCTGGGGCCCACCTGGGCTTTGTCACTTGACATGCCTCTTGGGAACTGGAGAGATTTCAGAATTGACTCTGTGATGTGGGTAGGAAGAACACAGGCCTCACTAAGCTCAGGCTTGGACCCCGCCCGTCACCTACCTCCAGCCCTCCAGCAGTGTGCAGTATTCTCGCATGAACATTATGCAGAGTGAGGCATTTCTCTGAGATATTATCTCATTTTTGGACCCAGGAATCAGATCCACTGAACTGTAGCAGCACGTCCCCTTTGTCACAGTGGCTCCCTGCTGCTGTGGTTGTTCCTAAGACTTTGAGAGAGCGTGTTTCTGCTGCCATCTATTGTCTGCCTTGGGGGAAACATGTGGCTTGCTTGCTGGAGCAGGAAGCATTCATTGCCTTGCAGATTTAGCAACTGAGTACCTTCTCCCCCCACCCAGAGGAAAGTAAAACCAAGATGTTGGTGTCCCCCAGTGAAAACCCCATTATGAAAACCTGTGTTTACTGACCTACCATCGTTTTAAAGCAGTTCCATTTGAACTGTAATCAAACCACCAAGTGACCTTTCTGTCCCTCTGCCCAGCGTCCCTGAAAGGGCCTGTTGTTTGCTGCTTCAATGAAGAAACCTTCTGTTTAGTTAAGCAAGTGTTTTTCCAGTCATGTCTCCTGGTGAGTTACAGAAAGATGATTGTAGGGCCTTGGTTTTTGTTGTTGTTGTTTTTCTTTTAATACTCTAGCCACCTTACAACCCCCCTCCCAACATTTATTTCCTTACTTTTTTTAGCGGAGAAGAATACCGTAAGCTGAGCCACTTCACGAGGGTTTTAAAAGTCCCTGGTGATGTTTCTCAGATCTTGGAACAAGCCCCTTCTTTTTGCCCCACCCCACCCCCTAGGATCTGGGACCCTTCCAGAGTGTCTGAGGCATTCACAGGAATGGACCACAGTGTAGCCCCCTGTGAGCCAAGGAGGCCAGTCCTGACTGATGTGTTTATATATGCATGTTTTTCTGTCTTTCAGTTGTTTGTTGGACTTGGGTTCCCTTATGAGGGCCCAGCTCCCCTGGAGGCTATTGCAAATGGATGTGCTTTTCTGAATCCCAAGTTCAACCCACCCAAAAGCAGCAAAAACACAGACTTTTTCATCGGCAAGCCAACACTGAGAGAGGTAAGCATCTACCAGAATCATTCTATTTTCAATTACAGGAATAATTGGGAGGTAGGATGTAGCTCAGTAATAGAGCACTTGCTCAGGGTCCTGGGATCAATCCCCAGCAACATGGGAGGAAAAAAAGAATAACTATTTACTTAGTGCTAATGTAGGTATAGTCTTTTTGGTATCTATGGAGAATTGGTGCCAGGACCGCCCCCCTTGGCCACCCCCCCCCCAATGCGCGCGCACACACACAGACACCAAAATCTCTGGATCCTCAAGTCCCTTATGTAAAATGGCATAGTATTTGCATAGAATATCCTCTTACATACTTCAAATCATCTCTGGATTACTTATAATTACAATGTAAGTGTTACATAAACAGTAGTTATGCAGTGTTGTTTAAGGGATAATGTTAAGAGGAAAAAGTCTGCCCATTTTCAGGGTACTTGAAGTTTTTTCAAATGTTTTTAAACATTTCTGGATCCAAAGATGCTGAACCAGTGTTATTAACATCATCCAACATGGTTATGTGGGAAGGGAAAAGGTTAGGGAACTGATCCTGGAGCTTAGAGAAACAAATGATTCAGTCACATCACCTCTGTGCCAACTGTCTAATGAACAAGGACATTCTAGCCTTTTGATTGCAGCTGAGCTCTTCTTGTCTGAAGCTAAGCTCTTCTTGTTGGGAGCTTATGATGAGATCAACTGAGTAACAAATTTGTAACATATTTGTGGATAATCAACTCTCCATGAAGAGCTATTGAGAGTTAAAAGTGGGCCATGGATATTCTCCAGGAACCTCAACCGTAAGAGGCAAGACATGTCCCTGGGGACTCAGGTGATATGCCTGGGTTTTTAGCCCACCATCAGCAGGCACCACCCCATGAAGTGGTCCTGCCATTGCTAGAACCATTTGCAGAAGCCTTGCTACAGTTGCCTTCAGAGATCAGCTTGAAAATTCACAATGGATGATGAATCACCACCAAGGAAAGCTGGATTTGATTTGGGGCAATAAACAAGTCATTTGCAGCTAAGTGTGAATGATCAAGCTGGGTGCTTCCATATCTGGCCAGAAAAAGGTGTGTGCAAGAAACTTTAAGAATGATTTTCTTTTTATTTCTATGTAGTTAGTAGGTGATTCTGCAGACTGCTCCCCATCGGTGAAGTTAAAGCAACACCCTTGTCCTTCATGGCTTTCAACAGGGGGATTACACTGATGGACAGTCCTCCCATGACATAACCATGACTTTTTAAAGCATTTATTTTTTCAGTGCTGCTGCTTTGAAACCCTTCTGGGTCACTTTCTCTGAATCTGTCATAACTGTGTAACAAATGTTACATAGTACATAAAATACATTTTTAGTGATGTTTATTAATGAATCAGGAATCCTATCAGTTCATAGACCTGATTATTTTTAAGAGTTCTTTTCTCCAACCCCCTGTATCATTGGTGAAATGGCCAAAGGAGATGGAAAATCAACAAGAACCATAGATTATCTCAAAGAGGTTAACTGTAGCCCAGATAACCTCTGACAAGGGTTAACTGGATGTTTGCTTACTTTTTACCTTTTACTCATATAACTTGAACTCTTCATGGAAGTGGTTTCACTTTGAAAGGTCAGTTCATTCACCAATATTTAGCTCACCTGTGTGCCAGGTGCGAGTGCCGTGGGTGGCACTAGACACAGAGATCAGGAACAATCTTGAAGAGCGTATTTTTTTGGAAAGGCTTAAAAGGCTTTCCCCAACAGGGAGACTAACTTCTCAGTTTAGAAATCTCTGCTACAGCATGTGACTGATTTTGAAACTTGAGGTAGAAAATTGATTTCAGTCATCTCTAGTAGTTTTTGTTTGTTTTTCACAAAAAAGAACTATATATTTAAGGTAAACAACTTGATGTTTGAAATAATAAACACTGCAAAGCGATCACCACAATAAAGCTCATTAACACATCCATCACTATTCATTGATAAGACTGTTCTTCTCCATTGTGTATCATCCATAGGTTTTCCTTTGGCTATAGAAAATCTCAGAAGTTCCTCCTTCTGTCCAAATTGTGTTTTTTTTTTTGGTAATTTCCCCTATTTTAAAACTTTGTGATAAATCATACATAATATAAAACATTTTAGCCATTTATAAGTGTGATTCACTGGCATTAAGTAAATTCACAGTGTTGTGCAACAATCACTACTATCAATCTGTAGCCTTATTCATCATCCAAGCAGAAACTCTGTCCCCTTTGAACGGTAACTCCCCATTCTCCCCTCCTCCTCTCTCCTACTTTATGTCTCTATGAGTTTGCCTACTCTAGGGGCTTGATGGAATCATGTGCTATTGGTTCTTGGGTCTGCCTTATTCACTTTGATGTGATGTTTTCAAGGTTGATCATGTTGTAGCGTGTGTCCGAATCCTTTTTATTTTTTTTAAGGCTAATATTCCATTGCATGTATTTACCATGTTGAACTTATCCTTTCATTTGCTGATGGACATTTGAGCTGTTTCCACTTTTTTCCCCTATTGTGATTAATGCAACTATGAATAGTGGTATACCCCTGTCTGTTTGAGTTCCTGCTAATAACTCTTTTGATTATATGCCTACAAGTAGAATTTTGCAGTTTTTACTGATTTTAAGATAGTCTACAGAGAAGTTGCAAAAATAATATAGCATTGAGTTATACTTTTCATCCAGCTTCATCTACTGGTGACATTTTACAGAACCCTAGTACAATTATCAAAATCAAATAAAATTAACAGCAGTACCCTAGTATTATCTGAACTAAAGACTATATTTGCACTTTGCCATTTTTTCCGCTACAATCGTTTCTGGATCTGATTCAGAATCCCATGTTGCATTTGATTGTCAATTGTCATGTCGCCTTAGTCTCCCAATCTGTAAAAAGCCAGCCTTTCATTGTCACTCATGACCCTCACTGCTTTTAAATAATTCAGATCAGTTGTTTGTATGCTGAGTGTTTCCTCACAACACTGAGAACACTCCAGACACATGGCCAAGTCAGGGGTGTCACGTTACATGGCCCAGATCAACCAGTACGAAGTTATCAAGAAAAGTATGTTCATTGTTTTCTGTCAGTTGCCATCATTTAGTCATTTGCTTTCTGCTGAGGTCGCGGAGGGTTTTCATTCTTTATGCCATAAAGAGAGAACAGACATTGGAACTGCTGCCTGGGATGATGCCACCAGGCCCGAAATGAGATTCCAGTAGAAAGACAGTGTGGACTGCTTTCAATGGTTGCTCAGCGAGTGACCTCAGACAGATGACTCCATCAGTCCTGGGCTCCCACTGGAGGGCTGAGAGGCAGAAGGGCAGTTGACAGATGTTTAATGCATCCCTACAGAGTCCATGGTACTATTTGCTGCGTTAAGGGAATTCAGCAGGACACATTTTCTGTTTTCAGACCTCTAGATCTGATCTGGAAGATTGATAAGACAGCTGCATAATCAGTGGGAGTGCATAAGAAATAGGGAGATGGCTTAAGGAGGGGAGTTAACTTGGAGTTGTGCCAGGTGGAAGGAGAATGTGCAGGGTTAACTGACAAAGATTGACAGATGGGGCTGGCCTTAAAGAAAGAGGAGAAGAAAGGACTTCAAGCCTGAGAGGGATGAATGTTGATGAACTTGGGGGGGGGGGCAAGAAGGTCAGGTTCCATCTGTAGCTCCCTCCAGCAACACCAGGCAGTTTTGAGAGGGTCTGCCTCCCCTGCTCTTTCAGCTCATAGAAGCTGCCAAATCCTCCTACCTAAACATGCTTTTAATTAGGAAAAAGCTGTCAATAGGTCTACAGATTTCTAAGGGTCAATACCTCTTAGAAATTATCTTTTATTTTCCCCTCAGGAAAGGGGAAATTTTTACAAGTATATATAATTATAAATATATATATACCTGAGTATGTATGATTAGAAAGCTCTCTTTTTGCCTATGTTAATCTTTTATGTCAATCCACAATTCATCCAACATAAATTGGCCCATATCAATTGCCTATGGGTCTCTTTTTTGCCTTCACTTGAAGGGAAAGTCTAGAGTTCTAACTGAGTTTAGCTTTGTTTTTATTTTTGCATTGGGCCAAGTTTTTAAAATACAGTGTATACTCAGAGGGGAAAACATTTCACAATGCCTTAGGTTATACTTGGTTCTTTATACTTTAATATGAATTGGATTTTTATTTTTATCTTTGTATTTGGAAACATATTAGTAGATTCCCAGTCATTATTCTGACATTTTGTAAACTATGAGAAATTATCTGAGTTCAGGGTTTTTTTTGTTTTGTTTTGTTTTGGGTTTTCTTAACCTACCCAATAAAGAGAACCCATGTTCTCCTTGGAGATTTAATAGCTACTCTGAAGTAATGTCTCATATTTAATAAGATTTTCATTACTTTTACAAACTATACTCTAGTAAATTTCCTGATTGATACATGATGAAGTAGCTGAGATCAGATGGTTCTCAATAAATTAGCAAGAAAGAACATAACATTCAAAAGGGGCTAATGAATCACAAAATGCCTCCCTCATAAAATTAAGCAACCCTCAATAAATGTAGATGAATGAAACGATAATGGCTCAGCATTTTGTATTTTCTTACTGCTTAGAGCAACCTTGTAAATATGCAGGGACCTTAAAGAGTAGGGAGGGGTGAGAGACTGCTGGTGATATATAACTTGCTAAATAGTGACATTGATGGCAACTCTAATTTACCCTGATTCCAGCAGAAGGGCTAATTAGTTTGTTCTCTAAGCCACAAAATGAAAATAATTCGACATTTTTTGCTCATCTTCACAAAGGTCTAATAGGGGCATAAATTCAGTCCAAGAAATTTTTTTTTTCTGTTGGCAAGTTTTAAAAGGCTTTTGTTTGTCTTCAGTCATTGACATCCTCTAAATTGTCATGCTCTTTCCTTTTCAAAGCTAATAAGTTGTTGAAGGATCTGGATTTGAGCATTCTGGTTGTTGGGTCTTGGGGTTATAAATCCTCTATACCTCAGAATCCTTATGACTACATAAGAAACCCGATAAGTGATGTATGTGCAGGTGATTACGCAATGCCTGGCCCCACATGGGATTTCACTGATAGGGATTGAATCCAAATATGTGCAGAGGAAAAAACCAGGTGTTTCCAGTTCCATGGAACTGCAAATCATCTGTAGCCTTCCAGTAACCACAGAGCCCAGCATGCAAAAGAGGGAGGCACACATCAGGAGGGTGGAGAGTTGAAAAGGCTAGTGCAGGACCTGACCCAGGGCAGAGAAGCAGGAGCAGAGCAGGAAAAACCTTCCTGGACGTTTCTCACATGATTTCCCTGAGTGATTGGCAGTGAAAACTGCAGCTGGAGCCCAATGACTTGTGGCCCATTTTCCCTGTCCTTAGTCATGCTTTTGCACACCACTGCTGCAGCTGGCTACCAAGACCAGTGACTGAGAGCAAGAGGGAACATCCACTCCTCCAAGTATATCTCTATATCAGAGTCTAAAGAGAAAAGGAAAAAAGAGAGCCAGACCTTTTGCCTCCATAGCAAAGGTCTTAACACTACCAGAGCTAACACCTCCTTTTACGATAAACATGTTATAACATCTTTTTTTCTCCTGAAATGAAAATCTTAAATAATGTAACCTGCCTGTCTACATAATTAAAAAAATATATAGTTTCCTAACTCTAATATGAAGAATAAATAAAAAGAAAATAATTCATAAAAAGTAATACATATTTCAATATTATGTAGCCAAGACCTATCCTAGCAGATATGATCTTTCATTCCCCCTTACCATGAACACTTGTATTTAAAAGGAATAAAACATTCAACTAAGAGTTGTCAGCCTTTTTTGCTTGTAATTGAGATTATGAACAAGGAACTAAATATAAGAGTCTGAACACATATCACATACATATATACATAATTGCCATTAATGTGATAGCTACAAATATAGACCAGTTTTGGGTCATTTTACTGGCAGTTCTGATATCCTGAGTGGCATTGACTTCACTGCCATGATTTTTCCAAAATGGTGACAGCTCATGGGTGAAGTTCCAAATAAAACAGTACAAACATTTCTTGATTTACATGGTAATTATGCTCCTGAGAAATTTATTGTACATTAAAACTGTATCAAAGTGTTAGATGCTATAAATCCACCTGAAAGCCCAGCAGGGTATTTGGAAGTTCTTTGAGCTGGAGGAGGAGATCAGTGGTAAAGAGCATTAACAAGGCCCTGGCTCAATTCCCATCATCAAAAATGATGATGATGATGATGATGATGAAAGTTGAACAATTCCTCCTTGTGCAGGTCTGTCCTAGACCTCACTAGATGTCGTGTATCCCTAGTCCCCACCCACAGGCTAAGTGTAGCACCAGCTCTTATGGTAACTAAGAATATTCTCATAAATGTCTAGAACACTCCTTACACCACTACCTTAAAGGGGTATAAGAATAGAGGTGGCAGCATGATCAAGGGATAAATTTAGCTGTCCTGAAGAATGGATTTTTAAAGAACCCAGAATTGCCAATATACATCTTTGCTTTCTTTGACCACCCTGTTCTTTAAAATAAAACCTCCTTTAGGATAAAAGTGCCATTTCTTGCTTTTCCAATGACAGATTGCTTCTAAAAGTTTCAGGCCTCAATGTTACGCTGATGATTATTCCTCAAACCCTGAAGATTCTGTTTTATTTTGATGGGATCACTTCTGTTTCTATCACCTTTTGTATGCACCATTACTCATCTTCTTGGGACTGTTGCAGCCTTGATTTTTATTGCAATTTTTTATGCTTACCTGTCTGTCCTAGCCAAGAAAATAGATACTGGTTTGACAGAGGTTATTTTCAGGGGTGAGTATGGATGAGCTATGCTTATTTTGGTTGAGCAAAAATGTTCATTAGGAATTAAAGCCACCTATAAGGGCTGGGAGTGTAGCTTGGTGGTAGAGTACCTGCCTAACATGTACAAGGTCCCAGGTTCAATCCCTAGCACACCCACACACCCCACCTAAAACAGCCACCTTGTCACCAGATTGTGACATTCTCTTATTTCCAAGAGGGATTCAAGATGTGCAGCCATCACTATTTGTTTCTGAACTGCTATGTTTGCACAGGAGGTTTCAGTTGATGAGGGAGAGGATGAGTGTCTTGTTACCTGCGCAAGTACAACTCAGTGCAGTAAAATGTACAACACTTCATCTAGCCCAGAAGATTTTTTTTTAAAAAATCAGTGTGAAACTGAGGTGTTCTGTTTTCTCTTTTCCAGCTGACATCCCAGCATCCGTATGCTGAAGTTTTCATTGGCCGGCCGCATGTTTGGACTGTCAATCTCAACAATCAGGAGGAAGTCGAGGATGCAGTGAAAGCGATTTTGAATCAGAAGGTTGTTTCTTTAATTCCATTTCCCCCCATTTGTGATGTGACCTGATGTGTGGAAAGCATCACAGTCCCTTGGATTCAGTCAGTGGCATTTTCCCACAGTAGCTGGAGTTAGAAGAGTAGCCAGTCTGTAGGACTTAGCCTGGGGATTTCATGGATGTTGTGTGACATGGAAAGCAGAGCCAGTGTCCAGATGTGGCCATGGATTCTACTGAACTGTCATGGCTCCTGTGTTCCAGGCACAGAAGGAGGGGCTTGAACTATGCTAGCTTCCAAGATCTACTTATGTCACTCTTAGAGATCTGAAAAGATGGGCCTGCTTCTTTTACCTTACCCACAAAAGAGGGGAGGGGGAGATGGGGAAGAAATCGTGAAAGAAGTGTTTTTGCATAATATCTGTTTATTTGTTTTTTCTACCAAAATATTAGGTAGGCTCTTGTAAAGTAACTTACTTTTCTGGACTCTTCTCATCAATTCAGTAGACATTTATTAAGCACTTACTGTCTGTGAGAACCGTCTGAGTCACTCTGGGAGGGGGAGGGGTGCTTTGTTCCATAACCACAGGTGAGGCTGTCTCACCACCTGTGGGAGTTGACCGCCCACCTGGGATGAGTTCAGTTGTCCTGATCCTGCAGTTAACTGTCTCAGGTACACACTGCCCCTGTGCTTCTCCTATCAGAGCACTCTTCACACTTGGTTGTGATGTTTAAGAGAATCATGCAGGTGTGCTGTGAGGGTGGGCTGGACTTACACACTTTGGGTTTGGCTTCCAGTGACTAGTAGAGTTCCCTCCTCTGTAATGTAGAGCTAATATTACATACTTGACTGGTAACCTGAGTGGACTAAATGAGATCACATATACAAAGTGCTTGAATACAATGTCTACCACATAGGAAGTGTTTAGCCACTATGAAGTGTTTCTTATTTCTTATAATAGACCATCTGAATTTCTGCTAGACTATAAGCAACATGAAAGCAGCACATATATGTCTGCCTGCTATATTGCTAGTATTCAGCACTGTGATTTACCTGGATCAGAGGGAGGAGTTGATGTTAGCAAACAAACACATGCTTAACAGCGCAGATAATGGTCAGTGCCAAAATCAACATGCAGAAGATCTAGGGATGGGAGCAGGAGTGGGGGGCGCTTCTGGTGAATGTTGCATTCTGAGTTGTCTTTTGAGTAGGAATTTTCAAAGCAAAACTGTGAATGGCATGGATAAGGCATGGGTTCAGTGGAAGGGGAAGATCCGAGAAGGGCATATATCCTGGATGAATGGCCAGTTTACCTCTTTGAAGCAACATCGTTCCCCTTTGGGAAATAGTTGGTGGCCCACTAACCTGCCAATTTCAGTTAATTGAGAGCATCTCCAGGGGAGCAAGGGCACTCTGATGTGCTATCCATATTCTGTCCCCTTGAAGATGGTCTGGGTATTGGGCTTTGGTGTAGCTGTCAGCTTCCCAATGGTCACATGTGTAGTCCCAAACCCAGTTTCAACAATTGTAGGCAGAAGTCCCCCAATCTCAAGTTATCCCAGTTGATAGAAGTTCCTAGTGAAGTGTAGTCCTACTGGGCTGCCTGAAAATATCTGCCCCACACCTAAAGTTTTACCATCAGGGAGTCATCCTTAGGAGATTTAAGGATCTTCCTTCCTATGTCCCAGAATTACTTGTGTATTAGTTATCTAGGGCTGGTGTGACATAGTACCACAATTTGATGGCTTGAACAACAGAAATGTAGTCTCTCAGTTTTAAAGGCCTGAAGTCTGAAATCAGATGTCAGCAGAGGATCATGCACCCTGTGAAGTATATAGTAGTTCTACTGGACTATATAGTAGTTCCTTATATCTGAAATTTTACTTTCTATGATGTCAGTGACCTATAGTCATCCATGTTACAAAAATATTAAATGGAAATTTCCAGAAAAAAGTCATATATTTTAAATTGCATACCATTCTGAATAATATGAGGAGATCTCATGCCATCTTTCTCCATCCCACTGAGGACATGAATCAGACTTTTGTCCAGTGTATCCATGCTATATACACTATCCACCCTGGTTTAGTCACTTAGTAGCTATCTGTTATCAGCTCAGCTACTGTGCTATCACAGTGCTTATATAAAAGGTTTCGTACTATCCTCAGTTTTAAGCATCCACAAGGAGTATTAGAATGTATTCCCCATTGATGAGGGGCCTATTGTAATCTTTCTTGCCCCTTCTAAGCTTCTATCAGCCTCAAGCATTACTTGGCTTAAAGCCTCTGAGCTTTATTCTCTGCCTTCATGACAGTGTGGCTTCTCCCTGTGTGTATCTCTGTTTCTCTCTTCTTGTGCTAGATTTGGGTCCGCCCTAAATCAGTGTGACCTCATCTTGACTACATTTACAAAGACCCTATTTCCAAATAAAGTTACATTCACATGTTGAGTGGGACTATTTTCCATTATATAGATGAGAAAATTAAGGCTTAAAAAGATGTTTTGCAAGATCACACTAGTAACTAGTAAAACCTGGAATCAAATTCAAGTCTTTTCACTAGTTTGTTAAGATAATAATTAAAAAAAAAACACAAAATAGAATAAAAGGAAAGTATGGAATAAGGAAAGAGATTAATATAAAAAGTATTGTCATAAAAGTTATTGTTAGAGACGGGTCAGAAATTTGGTAGTATTTTCTCATATGTAATTCCAAGATTTTTAAATTACATGACACCCAAAAAAGAAAAAGAAAACATGACCTTTCATTAAGAGAGGAAACAATCAATACAACCAGAACTTGAGATGGTCGAGATATTGGAATTATGAGATAACAACTTTAAAATTTTATAATAAGCCAGGCAAGGTTATGTACTCCTGTAATCACATCAACTCAGGTGGCTAAGGCAGGAGGATCACAAGTTCAAGGTCAGCCTAGGAAACTTAACAAGACCTTTAATGCTCCACATAAAAAATAAAACGGGCAGGATGTAGCTCAGTGGTAGATCACCCTTAGTTTCCATCTCCAGCACCCACACACACACAAAAGTTCTATGATAAATGTGGTGAACAACTTGGGGAAAAAAGTGGACACCATATATGTAAACAGATGGGAAATTTCATCAGAGAGGTGTAAGCTATTTTTTAAGTCAAATGAAAATTCTAGAAAAGAAAAATACAATGTCAGAAATGCATTCCTTCAGTGGCTTCTAAGCAGACTGTATACAGCAGAAGGAGAAAAAAATGAAGTTGGAGACTCGTCAACAGAAATTATTCAAACTGAAACACAGAGAAAGAATGAAATGGAAAAGGGTACATGATATCTTTGGGACAAAATGAAGCAGCATAAGTTAGGTGTAGTTGGAATCTGAGAAAAGGAAGAGACTGGCACAGAAGAAATTTCTGAAAGAGCAGTGGGTAAAAATTTTCCAATTAATGAACGAAGAATTTTCCAATCAACTTACAAATGCTAAGGGCACAGTGAACCCCAACAGCAAAAAATACAAAAAGAAAAGCACATAGTCAAAGGGCAAGAAACAAAAGAAGGAAAAATCTTGAAAGCAGCTAGCTGGAGAAAAACATTATGTTCAGAAGAATGATGATATTAAAGACAGCCAACTACTCATCAGAAACAATGGAAACCGTAAAACAGTTCCTAGGAACTAGAAGATGTACGGGGCTTTTAAATAGGCACTCTTGGGGACACTGTATTTTTAAGTATGGTGGGAAATTTTGAACAGGACAATGACATGACCTAGTTTATATTTGGAATCCTCCAGAGAAAATATAAGATCTCCCTAACTTAAAATCTTATGGCTAGTAAAAGAGGAACCTAGACTTAAACCCTGGTTTTCTGGTACCTTCTAAGACCATCTCTTCATCAGATGATGTCAAGCCACCTGTTTTGTGAGACCATTCAGGCTTTAGCTGATTTCTGAAAGCAGTTCTCAGTAAGATTTGCAAAGGTGAGTGGGTTCCAGTGGACACAGGAAATCTCACAGGAAAGGAGGTCCAGAGGAGAAGATGGGAAGTTCATAGAAATTTTCCAAGCCAGCAGGCCAGTAGCCTGCAAACATCCTGCCTGCGGCCTTAGTTTGATGAGTAACAGGCCTTTTTCCACAAAGAAGGATGACCACAAATGTGCTCTTGTTTCTCTTTTGGGCCCTACTTAGATTTCTCAGGGACTGGGTGTGGTTTCAGCATTCTCTTTCATTCCATACCCCAAAGTGGCCTTCTCTTGTTCCTGAAGATGTATTAGGCAGAAGGCTGTCCCTTCCCTTCAGTCCATGAAACAGCTTCCACTTCTGGGGTGTGCTGTTGCTCTCTGTCCCCTAAGCCCAGGGTCTGGAGAGCTTTCCCATGCAGAGGAGGCTGCACCCATCCACACTGGAATGGCAAGGGGGACTCCCTGGCAGTGCAGTGGCATAGGAATGCAGTTTCCTTTTTTTTTTTTTTTTTTTTTGCTTTTCCTTTGTAGGAAAACTGTCTGGCTTCATATCCTTTAAAACAGTGAATTGGCCCCAGAGCAATGAATGAGTCAGCATCCCTTTGGTTAAATTGGGCGTGACTGGGAGAATGGGAAGAGCCATTTTCTGTATTTACTGCATTGAATCTTTTGAATTCATTAATTTATGTGTTCTAATGGATGCCCTTTGGAATATATTGTCAGAATGGCCATTGGGTGCTTCCTGCCACAGAAGTAGATCTCTTGGTCTTGTGACAGAAGAACACCAATGTATGTTTAATTCTGAATTCTACTTGTCTACTTGTAAATGAATCCAGATATGCCATGTCCTCTGCTTTAAGTGGTTTCTTTTGGTTCCTATGTATCCTTTGAAAGGAGACATTTCTCTAGGCCTATTACATAAAGCTTCTTGAATCATCCATGAGTTGAGTAAATAAATATCCTTTAAAAGAAAATAAAATTTCACATTTCATATGAAGAGCTATATCTAGGTCAGAAATGGCCCTGCTGAGGTGCAGAAGCTTGAAATGGGGACAAACAAGCTGAGAATATGTTCTTCAAAGTAGGTTGAGCTCTTTAGAGATGAGGAAGGTGACCTCTCTGTTCTTGTGGAAGAGTGTCCATGATCTTACAGAGGCTCAGCCTCTCCTGACAATCCAGACAGATGTGGACAGGTATGGCTGAGATCCAACCTGTGTGATGAAACTGGCATCCAGTTGTCTATAAACACACTACTGGCATTTAATTGTGTATTAAATAAAGATATGTTATAATTTTTTATAAATCATGGCTTAAGATTTTAAATATAACATAAACTTAGAGAAAAGGGGAGAGGATGTCCCGAGACCAACTACGTGGCTGCCCACTAAGGAATGTCCTCTGTCCATTGTCCCACGTTTAGCAAGCCTCAGGTCTTAGATACTTTGTCCTGTTCTCTACCCCAGAGATCTGAGGTAGGTAAGTGTAGACTCAAGAGGAAGAGGTGAAGGTACTCCTTCCCACCCAGAGACCCCCAGGGCTCTGTGAAGGCTGGTGATTTTCTCCAAAGTGAATTTCCCATCTCAGATTGGTGTGCTGCTGAAGATGCAGACCTCAGCGTCCTAGCAAACATTGTGCAGTGGAGATCCAGACACACCTAACTTCCCCTTTCCTCCAGGGTCAGTGTAGATTGGAATGCCTCCCCCACAACAGTGAGCACCTCCCAGGGTTTTCTGCCCCCCTCGAAGTTCAGGCAGCTCAGTTTAGAAATCTCAAGGCTTTTGGTGACATCAGTGAGTCTTTCCTGCATCCTCTCACCAATGTCCACAGTCCTGAGCTGCAGCTTCCTCTGCCTTTACACATCAAATCTCACTCACTCCACCTGTAACAGCTGCCATCTCTCCTCACTCCCAAGCCTTGGCTCTCTGGACTCATAAACATAGTCTGCTTTGCCCTCGGACCTCCCAGAGTCCCTCTTTAGGGCCTTATATCACTTAGTTTTGTACCTTGAATTCCTTGCATATGTGCTGACCTCATCTAAGAGTGTAACCCAGTTTTCCAGTCACCGTTGTGGGTCTATAAATAACTCATTGTGTGGTTTCCTCAAAGCAGTGTAACCTTGTCTTCATTCAACAGATTCATGCTAAGAGCCTACCTGTCCCACACTGTGTGCACACAGGGATGCAGATGACACAGCCATAACTTTACCCCAGGGGGCTTACCTGCTAGCAAGTGGTAATCTCCACCTTCCGTCGAGTGTCGAGTGCCTACTGTGTGCTAAACACTAACCTTAGTGCCTTTCCCTTTTTATAGTCTTCACTGTAGCTTAAAAAAATTTTCTTGCCACTGCTTCATTCATGTGTTATCTAAGACTTGTGGGTGGTAGACAGTCTGCTCAGGGACTGCACCTAGGGCAGACAGGGTAAGTTGGGAAACTGGTGACTTCCAGCCTCTCCCAAGGCTGCCTGCAGGCATTGACACTCATGCATTGGGCGGGTTCTAGGAGAGCTGGTAAGTGGTGCGTGTGGTGTGTTCTCATTCATGGAGCCTTGTTCTGTTTCCGCAGATTGAGCCATACATGCCCTACGAATTTACATGTGAGGGGATGTTGCAGCGAATCAATGCATTCATCGAAAAACAAGTAAGTCTTGTCAAAGAGTCCATCTTTCCTTGCTTCCCATTCCCTCATCAGGTTCTCATCAACAGTTGTGAGCTCACAATATTTCTGTGGTTATTTGCCTGCTTTGGAAGTCTCCAGAATCTGGATAATGCCTTGTTGGAATTCTAAATGCAGCACCATCAGGGTCACCCAAGGGAGCAGTCTTTCATTGGGGGATGTTCTTGGTGACAGTGGAAGGTCACATGGACACTGATAGCAGGGGAGATGGGATGATCAGCTCAGAGTTTTCCCTGACCAGCAGGGCTTGTGCAGTAAGTGGGCTCTGGGGGCATCACAAGGACTTAGGAGGGGTAGACAGACAGCTGTCTGTCCTGCCTTCGTTTCCCACCCCCCAAGAAAGACAAGGACTGAAACTGGTTTCTAAGCTTTCTTTTAATAGCATGTGCTCAGTAATTCTAAGCATTTTAGGACTTTTTAGTGGTTTTTCAAATATCTCTTCACACAAGACCCCTTTCAAACGAATCCTAGGTATATAAAACAGATAAAAGAAGGACTTCAACTCCAAAGTAGGGGAGAGTGCACACAGTTCCACCACCCCCAACAGGGCTTGGAAACTACAGCTTGTGTCCTTAGAAGTGAAGGCCATGAGTGTCACTACCTTCCTTTTATAATGTTTTAATTCCTTGGGCTTCAAAAGCAACCCAGAGCTAGAAATAGACAGACTTGGAACCCCTGTGGGTAGGAGAATCTGAACTCCTTGACCAGATTTCAAATATAAGGAGCTCCCTTTAAAGGGCAGGGCAGAGTGGTCTAGGCTGTAAAGGATCTTTACCCATTGGGGGACCAACAGAGCCAACTGAAAATAGAAACCGTGAGTTGAAAATTTAAGTAGGCAATAGACTGAAGGCCCAGCGGGAGTTTCAAAAGGAAGGGTTGGTGGTTTGAGGAAAGTAAGGCAGTGGACGGTGGCCGGCAGCTGGGTGCTGCTGTTGGCAAGAGCACCATGGCACATCGGCTTCAGGATGGCCTGTCTGATCATCTCAGGTTTTGAGAGCTGCAAAAGGATGTGCCCTCCAGCCCAGCCGCTAGGTTCAGCTCTTAGCACCATGAGTCTGTGGTTATATGAGTTAAACAGACATTACTCAGCTTCTCTGTGCCTTCTTCCCTCAGTAACATAAGAATAATAAGAGGACCTTATTGAGCTAATGGGAAGATCACACAAGCTAATACACAGAAAGTGTTTGGAACAGGGCCTTGCACATAGTGCTCCATAAATGTAACCTAGTATTGTTATTGAACATGTTATGCTATATTACAGTATATTAAATTATGTGATAACACATTAATAATTGTATATCTCATACATTACTTCACAGGCTTTTCCAGGAGAGCGTAACATTGGACTCATCATCTCATTCAGTCTGTACATGACTACAGAATGGTGGCATTATCATAACTAACTGCCATGTATACACAGATGCTATGCCAACACATGAAACACGTCACAGTACCCTACACCCCCCCTCCCCCCCGCCCAATCTGTGGTTTCACTTTCCAAGGTTTTGATTACCCACAGTCAACCACAACCCAAAAATACCAAGTGGAAAATACCAGTACAGTGAGATATTTTGAGAGACAGAAATACTAAGACCATATTCACATAACTTCTTTTACAGTGCATCGTTATTGTTGTTTTAATTTTAGTTAATCTCTTGCTACGCCTAATTTATAAATTAACCTTTATCATAGGAGAAAAGATATATAGGATTTGGTACTCTCTACAGTTTCAGACATCCAGTTGGGGTTCAGAACGTGTCCCTGAGGATAAGGGAGAACTACTTACTGGGTAACATCTCATTTAATCTTCACAGTAGTCCCAGGAGGTGGCAATAATAACTCCCTTCTCTGCGTAATGGGAACCGGGATTCTCAGGCATGAGGCTCACAGGTGGAGCAATCAAGATTCAATACATTATGATGTGGGGCTAAGTCTGCACTGGAAGCATTTGCTAGGGACTCAGGAGGTAGCAGGTGTCCCTAAGCTCAGCTTCTCACATTCTCCCTGGTGGACCTCCCTGAAGGTTTGGAGAGAAGCCACTGACCACTTTTGGCACAGGGTTTTGACACCTCACAGCTGTGCCTACCATACCCTCCCTCTCAGAGGCTCTCTTGAGCTCTGACTCCATTTCTGTGGCTGCTTCTGAAACTCTCTTCCTTTTTTCCTGGTTCTGCCTCCTCTTAGGAGAAAGTCACCAGCAGACATAAATGTCTCTTGGCCAGGTTTATTTGAAGATCTTTACTTCTTTCCTCCCTGAGTCAGCTTATGAATCCAGCCAGTCCTTATGAGGTCTCAGCTCCTCCATTGAGTCTAATACTAGATTTCCGTTTAAGCAGGAAGGTCCCATTTCCCAAACAGACCTTGTTAAGTGCTCCTTAGTGCCAGCTCCTCCTGGCTTGTTCACCTCACAATCTCACGTGCCCAGCACCAGCCTGGTACTAAAATTATAAATATTCTAAAACACTACTAAAATTCTCTTCTGGAAAACATGCTAATGAAACTGCTCCTTCCCATCATTTCTGGATAGAGACTTTTCTACAGGGATATTCTGGCCACAGAAATCCAGAGATAATCTCTTTTTTTACCTGCCTTATTGACTCTCTCATCAACTCTGTGACTACTTGTTTGTACAGCACGCCATGCGCTGTGCAGGCATTCGGGAAGAGAAGTCCGAGGCCTTGGGTGGGTGAGGTTTCATAGAGCCAGTGCACCCCCGCAGGTTAAACTCTGTACAAGTGATGGAACCAGGATGCTTTGTGATCATGCAACTCAGTCCCCAGGGAGGAGAACAGGAGATATGGCAAGAGTAATGGAAGGCTTCTTGTAGGAGATAAGTCCTGAAAAAAAGTGGGAAGGGCCCACCATGTTGAGATGCCAGGGCCTAAAAAAAAAAAAAAAAGGAAATGACAGTGAATTTTAGGATGCATAGGTATGTGTGCTGAAGAGCAGGGTGGCATGGGAGACAAGGCTGGAGGAGGAACAGTGTGAAAAGACCAAGGTTCATCTGGAGGGTCCAGATTTGATTCTGGGATAAGCTAAAGAAAAGATTTACCACAGGGTGAGCAGCAATGATGCTACCAGGAGCTCAGAAAAATCTTTCTAGGAATCTTGTATTTAGGGAATTTCTTGTAAAACATTCTCCCAGTGCTGCTAAATGGGCAATAAAGGAGACTAGTTTGAGTTTATGCCAGGAATTCTATCAGACCCAGAATATTCCCCCAATGCCAGACCAGACCCCATTGGCCCACAGACTGAGTCTCCAGCCTCTCACTATGAGCTCCAGGTCCCAGTTTTGTACAGCTTGGGGCATTGGTTATTTTTACAGCCAGCAGAGTATCTTCAAAGAGCAGCGAGGATGGAGAGAATGTGCCTCTGGTGTAGGTGGAAAAGGCTGCAGCCATAAGCAGGAGCTTCCTGTGTGTGAATCTGGGGGAGCTACAGTGCTTGTTAGGCTGATCTCAGCCTCAGAGTCCTCCCTGTGATCTGCAAGGGGAACACAGGGGCTTTTATCCCAGAACACTTTCAAGGTCGTCCATCATGCTTACCCAAGGTGGCAGGCACCAGAGGAAGCCAATTGACAGCAATCGAGAGCACCCCAGGCTTTAGTGCACAGTTGAACAGCCACTGGCAGGAAACCTTCCTCAGATCCAGCCAGCCCGGTGTGCAGGCACCCAGAGGGAAAGAAGCCTGGCTCTAGGAGGAGTGCTTGCTCTTCTCCCTCCATGCACCCACCCTAGACACTTTGCTAATACTACAAATGTTGATTGGGTTGCATGCTCTTTGAGATGAGCACTTTAAAAGGCTATCTCCAGCAAAGGGGTAGTGAGTGCCAAGGGGGAAGTCCCTTGTAATTGAAGATCAAGGGCAATTATTCCCTGAGTGTGTCCAGGCTTGTTAAGGTTTTCCTTGAGCATTTCTTAGGGAAGTTTTGTATTTGCCTCCAGCTAGATAACATAGCAAGGAAAGGCAGTGTTCTCATGGGTTTCTGAAAGCCACACATACACTCTCTTCAACCCTGTTTTCCACTCCGTATAAAGACTGTGAATGTACAGGATGGTCAGTCACACTCATGGTTTGTAAAGAGCCTTGGAATTCATGTGAAAAGCATGCTGGAGATATGGAGGGACGAAGAGTCAAGTCCAAAAACAGCGGTGGAAACTGATTAAGCTCCTAGAATGTCTTGCTCCTCTGAGTCCAGGTGGAACTTACTGGGGTATGTTCTAGGTACAAGGGAAGTCTCTTAGTGAGTCTGGGTAGTCCCAGGGCAGGGAGATGGTGGAGGTGACAGAGGTTGCCGAACAAAAGAGGAAAAGGAATTGGCAGGGGGAGAAGATGGGCACTGGCTTGAGAAGCCTTTACTCTTGAAATAGCTGAGGTTGCTATCGATCTGCTCCTGGAGCCTGGATGGGTGGCAATAGAGTGCTGGACCCTAGAATCTTCACATCTGCTCTGCTGCCACTGACTTTGACCTTGGGCAGGTTATCTACCCTCTTTGTGCTCTTTCCTCTTTTGTGAAATAGGGATAATGCTTTTGCCTCATGGTGTTGGTGGAGGAATCAATAGATTAATACACGATGAGGCTAAGAACTGTAGCTGGCCCACATGAGCACTCTGAAAGCCTTAGCTGCTTGCTGCTGCAGGAGCCCAGAAACCAGCCAAAGTGTCTTTTTCTAACAGCCTCACTGAGGTGTAATTTACAGACCCTAAAAATCGCTCCATATAAGGATGCAATCAGTGTTTATTTAGCAAATTGATCAAGATGAACAGTAACTACCTCAGTCTAGTTTAGCAACATTTCTATCACCCCAAAATGATATCTGTCCGCAATCAGTTCTTGTTTCTGCCTCCACCTCAGGAATCACTTATCTGTTTCCTTTCTCTGCAACTTTGCCTTTCCTGGAGATTTCTGGCCTCTCTCACTTAGCATATGTTGTTGGGGATCCTCCAGGTTGTAGTGTGTATCT